TTAAGTTAGTAACACAGTTGTAAAATGAATCTGGCTTCCCCATTGACTTTGCTTGTCAGAACGTCGCAAAAGGTGACACCACAATTGGCATAATTATGAGCCATTTGCCAAGCGTCCGAATTTTGATGCTGCAATGGTCAAAAGTCACTTTTTTTTAGTCCAATTGTAATTTCGAACAGTCACTAAACAAACTGTCGTAGGTCAAGGACTACCTATATAAGGTAATGGTAAACCTCTTCTATATTTTTGCTAAGAACATTAAATGGCTATGTCCATGAGTTTAATTCAGAGGAGGCTTTATATGTTATCAATGGCTTCCCTACATTGCACCATTAACAATTTTTATTTTCTCCATCTCTTCCTCCTTCGGATTCTTACTTTTTCAAGTAGTGCTTTTTCTACTTGGTTGTACAACCCTATCTGTTCAATCTTTAATTTTCTATCCTTTATTTTGCTACTTGTTATACTAGAGTTTGGTCTAGAACAGTGGTTCTCAACCTGTGGGTCGGGACCCCATTTGGGGTCAATCGACCATTTCACGGGGGTCGCCAAGCAAGGCTGTCCGCCATTTTTTTTGTCCGCCATTTTTTTGTCCACCATTTTTTTCCCCTTTTCCGGTGGGTGCCTTACCTCCCTTGGGCTGGGCCAGCTGGTGGTCGGCCTGCTCCGTCTCTGCCACTTGCCAGCTATGCCTCGGCTGGCGCAGGGGGCGGAACCACGCATGTGCGGTGCTCCCGGGCAGGGAAAGTCCTCGACTTACGACCGGTTGGGTAGTCCTCGACTTACGACCAGTTTAGTCCTCGACTTATGACCGGTTTAGTCCTCGACTTACGACCGGTTGGGGTCGCGGCATTAAAAAGGTTGAGAACCACTGGTCTAGAAGACAGTGATTTCTGGTCCTGAGTCTTGTCTGACGATCTGGTTTTGCTCACTATCTGACAGAGTTCCATGCTAACATAGAAAATAAAACAAACAACCATGGGCACAAAATCTCTCCAATAAAACGAGAAATCTTTTGCAATATTCCTAAAATAGTTTTTTGGAGTTAGGAGTTAAACCCATAAAATGCCAACTTAGAGAATTATGTACCCACGTGCCTTACTATTAATTGGCAGTATGTAATATGCTATGTGGCAGAATTCAATCTAAAAAAAGTATTCCTACAAAGTAAATCAAAGTGTGTGTGTGTGTGTGTGTGTATGTGTGTGTGTATATATCTCATTCAAAAAATCTTGTCTTCAAACTGTGTATACAAACATAGTAGGTTGTAATGACAAAAATGCAAAAGCTTTATTGGAGTAATCTCTTAGAATGAACACAAAAGTCAGAATGTGATATTTTTCAATATCTTTTTGATCTGTTCCTGTTAAAAAAAGAACGTTGAAAGAGGAAAGAGAAAACTTAATAATGAAATGATAGCATTTAGCTTAGTTTTATGATAGAATATGGTAATATTCCATCATAAAATAATGCTAATATTGATAAAAAATGCACTTAATACTGTAATTGTAGTTACAACCAGGATAATCATTGTGGTTGCCAGAATGATATATTAACTCTCAAGTTTTCCATTTTTCCTCTGCCTACCTTTATAAAGGTAGTTAATGTAACACTGCTTTCTGTATTAATCCATTTTCTGTATTTCATAATATATAAAGTCAAGCTAACCATGAGCTTCTGAGGGCAGGGTGTTAACATCTAGCTTGAGTATCCAAATTAAACTCCAGGTTCATTCCATTTCTGAAAATCTTATTGTTTATTGAATACACAGCATGGTAATGTCAAAGCAAAACTAATTCTGAGGTTCCCAGATACCAGTTCATAGAATTCAACAATAATTTCTCCAGCCAAACCCCCATCCTCTCACATAGTCTTTGTAAAAATTTCACTTTGTTATGGGAACTGTCTGCTTCCTCTCCACACCTGCTGCATTGTCCTTGGAAAGGTTTCAGGCTATCACAGTCTTCAGCGGAATCGTAGAGGTTTCGTTTCTCCATCTAACCCGTTCTAAAGCAACACCTCCCCCACTTTACTCTAATGGCAGGTTGAAACGAAGAGGTATGGAGCTGTCAAAATTTAATTCTTGATAGGGGGTTGATTTAATTTGTCAAGATGTCTTTGTGCAAATAACATGTAAATTGAATCATTTGCATGGTGATGCCATAGCATCTTTGTGACTTATATGAGATACCTGTGCATTGTGGCTAAGCCTTAATATACTTAAACTAATATATTGTCATAGTTGCAGGATTTTACTTGACTTGGTAGAAGCATGTTGAATAGAACCAGCCTCTAAAAATAGAACAATTTCAGATTACTTGCGTGTCTTGCAATTATTGAAATGCTGGCATTGTCTGTGAGATTGTAGAATATAATGCTTGCAACAAAATTGTATAGTAAAATAGCCAAGTCTCTACCCCAATGTTGTTTAGTTTTTTGCTTGAGTGTGATTGTTAACTTCCTTCTTCAGCCAAGTACTCAAAACTATTGTGTTATGATGTGCTCCTCCTTTTCCATTCCCTCTTGCATTTCAGCTTTTTGTTTTTTAAAGTAAGTTGTGGCTTTGACTTGAAACAAAGCAGTTTTGTCTTGAAGCAAACATTTCCAGATTGCTGGATGACTTGGCAGAGTTCTCAATATTCTTTTTTTAAAGTCTGAAATAAGTAGGAAAAGATGAACCAAGGAGGAAAAGGTGAAAAAACAAGAATGCAAGGAATGAAGAGTTTGTTGGCTCATATTTCCTGTAGAGAAATATGAAGCATTATATTCCACAATCTCACAGACAATGCCAGCATTTCAATAATTATATGAAATGGCTAATATAGTGCTAGAAAGGGTTGAAGTGGATTTATTGCTTTGCTTTTTCTGTATATATGATATCCACATTAAAAGGGAAGAGGATATTTAGAAATAATTGTTGCAGCAGGAGCAAATGTGGTTGCATCAGTACTTCAAAGACTTACTGAACTGTTGACTATTTTGGCTTAAAATATACCTGACTAATTAAGCAGGCTGCAATCTGAAGGCACAAAACAAAGCTTATTCTTTAAATTAAATAGATTTACTATGGAGTGGTTGAAAAGCCAGTAAGCTGTCTATTAACTCTATTAAATAGAGTTCGGACACCCATATAATAAATGGGTTATTTTAATAAACATGTGAAAGAGTTTGTTCTTATGTTTATTGTGGTTTTCTTTTCTAGGAATTCATAAAATCTGGTTGGTTCTGGTACAGATATAACATTTCCAATTAGTTAATTGACACTGAAGGAACACAGAGCAACTGCTTCCAATTCTTATTCTGTATTCTGCTTATTTTTCCATTCTTGCAAGAAAGAATTGTTCCCACTTTTCCATTGGTATAGAATGGAAATATAATTATATAATGTATTATGCTCTTTATATAATATAATGCTCTTTGGGCATGAATAATGCTCTTAATATTAATACAAATTACTGTAAATTATAGTGATAGGCAAACTCTTTTGCACATAAAAAGTTAATTGTAATTGTGAACAGGGCTTAGTTAATGGATAAATTCAGCCACTTATTTCAATCTGCCTAATCTTGATCTATAAGGACCCAGTACATCAAAGCTGCCATTTCTGCAGGGCAGGGCTGCCTGCTCCTGTTCATTAACTTTTGTTTTCACAGCCACATCAGTGTCTATGTGTGTGCAAGCAAGACTGTTCAGCGTTATTCAATCCTGAGTAATAATCAGTAGACTATTTCAGGAATCTAGCCACAAAATGCATTTAAAAATATGCTTTTGTTTGGAAGTAATTGAATCAGCCCATAATATGTAAGAAAACTGCTTTCAGCCTTGTTTTTTCAGTACTGTTTTCGCCAGCATAAGTTCTTTTATTTTTCTTTACTGGAGCCGTAGCAATCTTGATTCCATTTTTTAAAAAAGGATTGGATGAAGTTAAGAGTTATAACTTGAGGGGGGGAAGGGGAGAAAACTAAGGTATAAACAAATTTCTCAAGTGTTCTTAAGAAATTATTTCATATCAGATTAACTGAGCATCAATTTTGTTACTTAAATGCAATAGTCAAGCTCAGAACACCATTACTTTTTAGTCAAAAATGAGGATCATGCTCAGGATCTCTAAAATAATTTAATATACTATGGCTGAATACATTTTATGGCATCTTTTCCACAAATCAGTACTGCATCTTGGGGGTCCCAGACCTGTATTTCGCAAGTCATTTCAAGAAATTTTACATGCACTTTAGAACTGAAAGAACACATGTATTGTAAAGGGAAATTGCTGTAGAAGTTTTATATATTTTAATATATATAAATATATAATATGTGAACATTATCCAAGAAATTATGATAGCTAGTTTAAAAGTAGATAATAATTATTAAAAAAAATTCAGGCTCTTCACAGATATGGTGTAGAAGGAACTGAAATGTAAATACATGGGAAGAAGGCTATTCTTTTAAGCTTTTATTTATGTAGCAACCTCTAAAATTCTCCTTCAGTTTATTTTAGAAGTAATTCATTGGCAGTCTATGCATGCAGTAGGAAGCAAAACCAATTGAATAAATGAGATGATGCCATATACGTTGTCACTATTGTATAAACTGCAAGCAATGTGGTTTTTGTTAATACGTTGGAATGTTTTATCATTTATGCATGGGCCAATTGAGTTACAAATCCATTCAATATACAAAGCCATTCTTGTTTAATTTTGGAATGCAGATGGTTTGCTCTTCAGTTTTGCTTTGCTGGGCGTAGATGCTTTGCTGTTCAATCTACATCTTTGGATGTTTGAAATAAGGCTTTGATTAACAGCTGATGTAAGTTTGGCTATACTGACAAGTCCCACTGATTAGCACTGATGAATTATTAAGCATGAATTAAGTCAATGGGACCTGAAAAAGTGTTTAACTTATCTGCATTGTGATTTAGAAGCTAAATTGTAATGGACCATATGGGATTGTGGGATAAATTGCTTTAGAAGCCATGTAATTTGTTTCCTTTTCTCTTTCAGAGCACCTGCAGCTCCAAAGCCAGATCCAATTCCTGTGCAGCAGGTAAGGGGTTCTTCCCCAGTTCCTAAGTACAGGGGAATGCTATTGTGGTCAATTTACTCTTTCACATCTCTCAATGTGTTGATCTTCCAATGCAACATGGCTCTATTGTATGTCCATTTCATTCATTTGGACATACTTGAAACATGCTATTTTGAAATCCGTGAAATATGCTATTTTCTTTATCTAAAAATTTGGTAAAAAGGTGTAATTTTTGGCTTTGAAAGTCCTCCTTACTGCAGCTGTTTTGGAATTGGCCAAATTTATATTGGGTGATAAGCGACCAATATTAAAAAAACACTGTGGTTAGGTTTCAAAAACAAGGACTAACATGGGAAATATCTGTTGTAGTCCTTACGGACTTTTTTTTGAGTTGAATTCAACTCCTGGAGATTTCATGGTCACCCTTCCACAGCTTTTTTGGGTTACAGTAAAGAAGTGATTTGTACAACCTTCCCATTCCAGGGTATTTTCCCCTCTTTTCTAATCCAGTCTACTGTCATGGAATTTCCTAATCATTCTCCATCCAAGTTTGATACTAATCAGACTTGGTTATTCCAGCTTGCAGGACTGGCCTAGGGTAATTTTTAGAGGGGGTTTTAATTATATTTTAATTGGACTACGTTTAAATATTTCTTTTTAATTAATTTTAATTCTGTAATTGTTATTTATGTATTTTTAATCGATTGTCAGCCGCCCTGAGTCCGCAAGGAGAAGGGCGGGATATAAATTTAATTTAATAATAATAATAATAATAATCCAATCCAGTTTAGCTTCCAAGCCTAAATAAAGTTAACAAAATACTGCTACATGTAGAGATCAACCATGTTCTTAAAAGGCCTGTTCATTTCCTAAAATTCTAAGAGTTACTGATTACAAGCATCTTTATTAGAAGCTTTATGAAATTAGAAAAATAGGTACCACTTCTGTGGGAAGGTAATAGCACTCCGTGCACTTCAGCATATAGTCATGCTGGCCACATGGCCACAGAAGGACCACGGAAGGACCACACTGGCTCCTTCAGCTAAGAAACAGAGATGAGCACCATCCCTAGAGTTGGACTCGACTGGACAGAAAATCCTTAGCTTTACCTTTACTTTACCTTTTATAAAAAGGTAGCTTAATGTAAGACTTTTCCTGCCAGATCTTGAACAGTATGATACAATTACTAAGAGGAGTCTGTAAAGATGCAGAAAGATTTGCTTTCCTTAGTAGAACATGATCTCTAATAGGTGCCTGTTGACTTGCTTAGCTACATTAGGATAAAATTCATGTACAGCAAGTCTGATGGCTATTGTAGCACAATGAACTGAGTAAAAGAAGACACACTGTCATATTACTTTGCAGCAAAGATATCCCTTTTCAAACAAAATATGTGAGTTTGCCTTTAAGTTAAGCTAATATAGCAATAGCTTTTAAATGAGGAAGGTAAGATTAGGAACTCCCAAAGTCTGGTCATGTGCAATAGAACTTGTAAAATATTTTTTCTCTGGTGTGAGAATTCTACATGACCTCAAACTACTTTTGAAACTAACTTCTAAAAAAAAATCCGGTCATTTGTCACTGGAAAGGAGGGGCATTGTTCCAATATAGACCTGTCCGAGACACATAATCCTTTAGTAAGTAAAATTTTACTATGAGGATTCTGTCTTTCACTGATTACCTGTAACCCTTGCACTGGAGGACTGCACTTGTGTCCTAACTGCTGGACCCAGTTTATAGTGAAGTTTTTGCCTAAAATAAATCTAAGGCTACCAGCTCACGCATGTTGTTGGGGTTTTTTGTTTTCAATGACGCATGCTGTGTGATGTTGACAGTCAGTGCTTTCAGCACAAAGTTGTGTACTTACAACCAGTCAATCATCAATGGATATTTCACAATAAAACCACTGCAGATGTCATGGATATACATTTTGCATGTGTGTGTGCACGTGCGTGGCTTTCTTGTGTATTTTTCTGTTTTTATTTCATCTAGGTAGAGCCTAAGGACCTAGTTAAGCCTGTGCCCATTGCATCTCCAGCTGTGCCCAAAGTTTCATCCACAACCAGCATGGCCTTCAATAAGGCCCCCAGGCCCTTTGGAGCTGTGTCCTCCTCCAAGGTCACTTCCATCCCATCACCGTCATCTGCCTTCACGCCAGCCAGTGCCAGTCTTCCATTACATGCTTCCCCTTCACCTCTGGCCACTGTCACACCTCCCCGGTTCACTGCCTCAGGAGCGCATGCTAATGTCAAAGCTAATGCTGATCAGCGTTGCCCTGTGTTGAGTGCTGCAAATCCTACTGTTAATACCCCATGGCAATCTCCACACAATGCACCGTTCAACGAAAGGGCTCCAGAGGTGACAGAGGGGCAGCAAAGTGGATCCAGAGAGAACCAGGGTGACAGTAAACAGCAAAATGGGTAGGTAGTTTTAGGGCAGTTTTTTTTTCTTCCTGTTTTAAACGTCTCAAAAAGTACTTCCTCAGTAATTCATTGATTGCTCTTTCTACCTGAAATTATAAGTGTAAAAAAAGTCAGGTTAGTTTATAAAGTGCGATCTGGGCAGATCTATATACAAGGAACTTACTTGCTTTTATAAATCAGATTTATAAATTGATGAGAGTGTTCTCTGCTGGAGATGGTAAATGCCAAATTAAAATTTTTGAGAGTTCACAGCAAAATAAGAATGACTATTGAAGATTTAAATGCATAGCAAAGCTGCAGGCTATTGTGTTGCTTTGATTTTACAAGAGAAAAAAGAGGTTCACCTGTTGTGAAAAATGTTCCTTTTCACCTTTCCAACCAAGCATTTTCTGTCTATATTCCACACAATTTTCTTCTTTTCATCTTTTATATTAATTCAGGGCTTTTTCTCTACTTAATGACTTCCCCCTACAGCTTTTGTTCTTATTCTTCTGCAATTTTCATTTTCTTTTTAAATTTGCAATTATATTATGCTTCTTGACTTACATCACCAACAATATGGACTTGTAAACTTAAGTATAGTACTTATATAAGTATATTTTTATATTATATAATGATTATATTATACTTAAAATGTAAGTATAAACATGAGCTATGGTGCCGCAATGGTTAGAATACAGTATTGTATAATTTTGCTGGCAGTTCGATTCTCACTGGCTCAAGGTTGACTTAGCCTTCCATCCTTGCCAGGTTAGTAAAATGAGGGCCCAGATTGTTGGGGGCAATATGCTGACTCTGTGAACCGCTTAGAGAAGGCTATAAAGCATTGTGAAGAGGTATTTAGGTCTTAAGTAATATTGCTATTGCTAAGTATAGAGAAAATAATTAGGTAGGTTTTTTCGCTAAACCTATATAAATGCATAATTTATTGCAACAAGAATACCACAGGAATGCTGATGGTATTGCTAAGTGCTATTGCTTCTTCCAATTTCTGGCAAAAATGCCCATGGCAGACAGTGGGTTCACTTCATGACTCTGTATCCACTTAACTATGGTGATTCACTTAACAACCACCACAAAAATATTGTAGAATCAGATTGGTCACATGATGACCTGCTTAACAACCGTCATGGTTTACAATAGTAATTCCAGGCTCAATTACAGTCAAGACTACTTGTAACATTTTGTCAAAGTCATTTGTAATTGTGAGAAGCCATTAAACCAGGAATGGTAATCTGAAGAGACAGTTACAGTATGTACTGAGAATAATCATATTCCATTTTGAGGAAAGCAAGATGATAGGAGAAAAGCTCAATCTCTCAATTCATGTTTTAGTTTCCCATGGTTTTATTTTCCCTCTCTCTCTCTCTCACTTAGTACATTCTACTAAAAAAAAAAGTTCATGATTCCGTAATTTATATAGCTGATTGTCAAGTATGAATCCCCAAGGACTGTAGTTCTGTCTATTGGAAGAGATACAGCAAATCAAAGATCTAAGAGTATGAGCTTGTGAAAGCCTTGTCAGTTTTAGTAACTATTATAAGAGTGGATCAGAATCAGGCTTAACCACATCTAATACTGCGGCTCTATTCCAAGATCAGCACTGGTAATATAAGATAGGTACAAAGCAAAAACAAAAACAAAAAATGATGTGGGAAACCAAGGCTAAAAAAATGATTTCAAAGTTACTTAGGCATAGATCTAAGAGTGATTCACCAAAAGGACTATCAAATAATCCATCATGTTCCAATTTGCTTATTCATAATGGTTCCCCTAAGCCAGGGGTAGGCAACCTTGGCTCTTTTATGACTTGTGGACTTCAACTCCCAGAATTCCTGAGCCAGCCACGCTGAGGGAAAAGGGAGGGGTTTCCAAGCTGAGCCATGCTGGCTGAGGAATTCTGGGAGTTGAAGTCCACGAGTCATAAAAGAGCCAAGGTTGCCTACCCCTACCCTAAGCAATGTGTATAGGTCTTAAGTTATAGATTGTTGAAGCAATTGACCTTTGTGTGTTCAATTTTTTTTTCTTCCGACAGCACAGTTCTTTCAGTAAAATACCTACTATGTAAAAATGGCACACATATTATTTTACGTAGAGGGCATAGCTATTGTTATTATCCTTAAGGACATAATGTTGTATGCAGCCACGCTATCTAAAATAGAGAGGATGAATTCCTGACAAATCTCTCAGTACATATAAATATATCTTGGCAATGCTTCGGGCACCCTGGCACAAGGGTTTTTGCAAATCTAAAGCATAGCCCTGCCATTCAGCTGCATTCATTAGCATTCAAAAATAATTTATAACAACTAAAATAATTTTGTACTAAGAAGACAAGCAAATTCTCCCCCCAGGCAAGATCCAGTCACCCACTGTAATTACAAACAATTTTCTCTACAGTTAATGCATGCAATTGTTCTCATTATTTTATGAAATCCTGCTATGAAAGAGCTTTATGCCAAGTATCTGTCTATAAAGGAGTCCTACATAAGCCCAGACAGTTAGATCTGTAATCCTATTTCCATTTTATAAGTTTGTTGGTTTATCAGTGTTTGAATTGAAGCCTTTTTTGAACCAAGTTGTTGAACTATATGATGTTTTGTTTTTTTAAAAAGCTTTTAAGTTTCATAAAAAAATGAAAATGGTAGAATCAACCCACGTGTTAGCTCTGTTCTTTAAAACTGACTGAGGTGTCCTGACAAGATGCAAATTCTGAAAATATGGTTTCAAATGATGCTTGTGCAGTTATTTGTGTAAGAAGAATTTGCTTACATATGAAACATCTAGTGCTGATTAAACAGTAAGATGTTGCACTGCCCTTTTTTACAAATATATTTAGAGCTTAGTAATACAATCTGTTTACTGAAACAGGCATAGATGGTAGCACTATATCTATTCAAGCAATGTAGTTTGAGATTAAACCTTAGCAATTAAAAAGGGCTTACGTTTGTGTCTTAAAGAATTACTTGCACAGATTAGAAATTAATTCAGAGAAAGGAGTAGTTCATTTGTCAGCATATAAAATGGAAAGACCAGTGGCCTTTGCATCCTTGAATGAAATATTCTCATAAGCTTAACATGAAATTCAGTGCTAAATAAAGGTTTGTATTATAAGGTGAATGCAGACTTTTAAAACAATATGCATATTGAACATGCATATAATTATATGCAATTATTAAGCCTGGCACAATTTTTTATGCATAGAGGTACAAGCCTATTGAAAAATCAAAGGACTTGCCTTAGGGTAAATATACAGAGAATTATAAAGAATTGGGCTATGTTTGTGTTTAATAATTCTAGTTATTTTTTTTAATATATTCTGTTTTATAGTTTCTTTTCCAGTCTTTTTGACCCAAGCATTGTTGTTACCCAATCATTTAGGGAAACTCATGGTTGAATTGGCACTCTAAGTGATCTACTTAAACATTATGCTACATCAGCTTTGAACAAAAATGTATTATAATGACTCAGCAGTCCTGAAAGTCTGGAATACTTGCCTTGAATCCAGTTGATTGAAATTTTAGCAAAATACAGATGAGGTTGCAGCCATTGTCCAATATTGTTGAGTTTGCATGTTTATGCAATGCAATGCAATGCTTTGTCTAGTTTTTCCAGAAAAGATACCAGTAGCCACTTGTCACAGAGTCTGAAGCTGATTGAGACTGAGGTGTAACTTGACCAAAGTCACTTAGTAAGTTTCTGTAGATAAGGAAGAGATAGAACCTAATGTCTCTTGGTCCACCACCTTAACACCTTCTTGGTCCAATCACCAACTTAAGCATGTACAACATGCTTTCTCCATATTTCTGAAAATACTGTGGTTTTTATAGAGCAACATGTATGATTACTAATGCTTTATTTTTTACCAAAGATAATATTAATTTCTAAGTGCGTGACTGCATCTCTTAATCAAGAATTATATTTAAAGTTGGCAGATGAATATAATTAATCATATTAGGATTTGTCATGTTTGCGTATAGAGATAGAAACAGCNCTGACCTAGGGTGAGTTTTAAATAGGGACAATTTTTAACGATTTTAAAGAGCCACAGCTACCAATATTTGGGTTTTAATTGGTTTTTAGTAGGGGAAATTTTTTGTATGATGTTTTAATACGCTGTGAGCCGCCCTGAGTCCCATGGGGAGAAGGGCGGCATATAAATCCTGTTAAATAAATAAAAATAAATAAATAAATTTCCACTTCATTGATATCAAAAGTAATTGAGTAGTAGCAGCATACGACACCTAGTGGATAGATTAACATTCTTAGGCCAAAATGGAGAAGCAAATGTTTTAGTATCTTGTGCAAATTAGCCACTGTGTAATCAATAAATGAAGTAAAATGTCTAATCTATCCTATTTCCTATAAATCTGTCTTAAAATAGAGTGCTCCTTGAATTTTGGCACTTTATAAATTTAAAATTGACATACATGTCCAACTGAAGAAGAATAGATACTCCAAGAGGGAGCTAGCTAGATAATGATGTAAAGTCATATCTTGAAAGGAGTTTCTGCTATGGGGCAGTGAATGGCTAATCCAGTGTTTCTGAAACTTGGCAACTTTAAGATGTGTGAACTTCAACTCTTGGTTAATGACTGGGGAATTCGGGAAGTAAGAGTCCACACACCTTAAGGTTGCCAAATTTCAGAAATGGTTTGCTCTTTAAGTGCCTGCATGTGATTTTGTTTTGAATTGTGTTCTTAGTTCATGCATGGTAATTAATTTTTTGCATTAGATGGATCCCTTGGGTAATCAAGGGATAAAATAGATTATTTATATTGGTTTGAAATGTATGAAAACACGTGAACTTACATGGTTTGGGTATGATAAAGTAGAACAGTAGGGAAGTTGCTATAATAAACATATTGATTTTTTCACTCCCGTTACAGATTACAACAGTGACAAAGTTAGTATTCGTTCCACTAGAATGGAGTTGTGCTTTGTGCTTTGGCATGTGTGGCTGTCCCAGAATTAAATTTCTGCAAAATAGAGCCTTGGCTTTTGAAGTTAAAGTAACATAAATTGTTTGCATTTTCACTGGTGTGTGGTTTTATTTACAATATTAAATTTTGTCTTGAGTAACTGGCAAACAGTAGAGATAATAACAGCGAATGAGTCTCTTTTTAATGTCTGCGATTAGACATTAAAATGGGTGATTTTTTTCTATTAAGATAGAAATAAATGAAGACATTTATTGGAATTAAATTTAATTTAAGGATTTTTCAGCCTCTTTCTTGCCTCTTCCCTATTCTCCCATTGACTTAGGGAAGAAATAAATTTGCCATGACTTTACCTTAACTTGTGCCTCCACCTTGTGGCGTGGTGGGGTAGCTGCTGGTAAAAGTCAGCAAGAAATCATTCTAGAAATACCAGTTGGAAATTCTGTTAGCTTTATCTCCTATTCATGATTAAATGAAACTATTTTTCCCATCTGGCTTTAATATTACAATTAACTTTTATTAACTCTTTTTTTGATCCCATTTTCTATGTTATTCCTTATCTGTACTTGAACGTCCTGGAATCGAATCCATTGTTTGTGTCTTTTCTGTCCCTCATTCCTTCAGTAACCCTGATGAGGTGTAAGTACTTTACTAATCACTCTCTTAATGTTTGAGCTACAATTTATATAAATTAATTGCTGTATTCTGTAGGTAGCCTTTTTGAATTAACTTCCATTTTCTCTAAGTTTGGGAATGTTACAATACTTTTTGTTTTGGTGAAAGAATTAAAAAAACCTATGCAATAAATTAACTTTTTTCAGTCGTCGTTCTCCTGATGTCTTGAACTACAGTGACCATCATTCCTGTTTGGGGTGTATTCCTTGGAATGATCAGAATAGTTGACACTGTAGTACGGTAGTAGAATTGGGAAAGGTTGAATCTGAATAGTATATCCTTTCTCCTTCTTTCTGTCCAGTATTTTATATGGAGACTTTTAGTCTATATTCAGTACAGTGGTATCTCGGTACTCATCATTAATTGGTACCAGGAAGTGTGATGAGTACAAAAAATGATGAGTACCAAAAAAAATTCCCCATAAGGAATAATGTAGTGAGTCACAAGGCAGTCGACACCAATAAGTTGTAGCTTGTGCATTGAGTACCAAACAAAGAATGAATACTGGAACAAAATTTTCATATCAGAATGTGTTGAGTACCAAATTTGATGAGCTTCAAAGCAGTTGAGTACCAGAGTAATACTTTTTGAGTGTATGATGAAAACATGACAAAGAGAAGTAAATGTATACACTGAATTACTGAATTCACTCTTAAAATAGAAAGTTTAGGAAGTAGTTTGATGCTAAATGTCAGACGAAAGATCTGAATAGCAAGAGGTACTCCAGGGTGAACATGATGAGTTTCTGTGCGATAGAAATTATTAAGCAAAGATGGAAAAGTCACCTGGATTTTTAGATGACCTTGTGATCTTCTTATACAAGATTCTATAATCCTGTTCAGGTATTGCAAAAAACGGCCAGTCACAGTGTGGGCTGCAATAAGTAGCCTTACCTCCTCAGTAAAGTTGAGTTGATGATGTCTGTGAAGTTGCCCAGGAAGACTGTAGTTTATAGTGGAGAACTGTTGCTTATTCAAAAGTAACTGCAAAGGGTCCCACATTTGGAAGAAAAAAAAATACCAATATGCCCAATAGTATCAAACAGAATGGGGTGCTTTTGCTTCAGGAGAAATTGGCTAGATGCGTATGATTGTTTTTATTAACTGTATAAGCTCACCTGACAGGTTGGGAGTTTGCCCATTCTTCTAAATAGAAAGCAGCCCCTCAGTTTGATGCCAAGCTAAAATGGGGAAATTGAGAGGGTAAAATGAGGCTCAAATAAGCCAATACAGTTTCTTCCTTGGGAGAATAAAATTATTATTAAATTATTTTATTTGGTGACTTGTCAATAGTAACAGCAGTTAAGCTTAATACTTCTAATTCTTTTGTCTTTCTGTTCTTTCTTCTCCTTATGCTGGACTGTCTTGTATTCTGTTCCCTTGCTCTTTCCAATATGATAAAAGGAAAAACCCACCTAAACGGTAATAGCCACGTGCCTTTTTGATGTTCAATATTATGTGCAGTTTTTAACTATGGTCTGTATTTTTGATCAGGGTGGGTGTGGAGAGAGGGAGCAAGTTGTGATAGTTTACAGTTTGCCTGGAATTGTTCTGCACATCCATCCATAACTAATTTTTGTACCATTCCAAATTCTACTTAGGTTATCCTTTCTACCAACTTAACTATTGCCTTTCTCTCCTTATTCTTCTATTCTTCAGTGGCAATAGGATTTCCTTCCTTCCTTCCTTCCTTCCTTCCTTCCTTCCTTCCTTCCTTCCTTCCCTTCCCTTCCCTTCCCTTCCCTTCCTTTCCTTCCTTCCTTCCTTCGTCTATCTTTTTTGTTGTCTTGCTATAAGACAAAATCTTACCAATTGTTTTGTATTTAAGAAATTTTCACCCAAATTCACACATGCAGGATCGCGTAATCTCAGTACTGTTCAACAATGCAAGTTAGCCATTTTAACAGTTGATCGACTTCATAATATTTTTAAAATTTATCATTCAATTAATGTGGTAAACTATATTTTAGAATAGATATAGCAAGGGAGTAAAAAAAAGAGAAGAACATTGCTGTATAATATTTTTCTGTGGAAAATGTAATATGTTTTGTTTTTCCTAGAGCCCAATACAAGGAGATGCAGCCATGTACTATCTTATTAAGAACTGTTCACTGAATTAAATGATGGATTCTATGAATTATTAGCTTCTATTCATGCAGGTTCTGATGTAGATATTGGTTGCAGCTTATGTTTCTTTAAAAAGGAACAGCTGAAACCTGGATGCCATGCACTTTAATTTTTTTATCGAATCTGAAGGAAGCAATAACTTACTCCAGCAAGATCTATATTAAATGCATATACTTAGCATCTTGGCCTTGATCAATGTAACTCATCAAGTTTTATTGCCCTTATTCATTGTATTAGTCCACCACGAAAACACGTCGTGTACAGAAATACAGATTTTTTCCATCCACCGGTTCATAGCAACAACAGCAAGAAGAGACTGATTGAAGATACTGAGGACTGGCACCCAAGGACTGGAACTACTCAGTC